GTGAGACTAATTTGAGTTCGGCTGTCCCATCTTGTGATCTTAGTGTTGATCGTTATCTTCCTTTAATTTGTTAAAACTCCAATAATCACATACTTGGCCTGGGCATCTAAATTCGTAAGTTGTATGTATGGTTCAGACTTTTTGACCACTAGTTGCGTTCTAACTGACATAGCCGTCAAACAGGTTGATCCCTTGCTTGACATTCGCATCACTTCAGCTTCTGTATCAAAAGTAATTTCCTGCTTAGACTCTTCAACAGCTTGTGGTCCTGACAACATTCCTGTTGTAGTCTTGCAGAAGTGTTCTCCGAAGCTTTCATCCATACTTTCAAAAATATTTAACAAGTGCTTATCAGAGTACTGTTTTCCATTATGCTGGAAAGCAGCATCTGTTATCCCTATTATCAAAAATTTCGGAGATCGATCTGATTCATCTAACTACTGTCCCATTAGTCTTCTTCCTGTCATAAGCAAGGTTTTTGAATCTTTAATCAACAAACACTTAATCTCTCATCTTGAATCAAAAAACTTACTTTCTGATCATCAATATGGATTTCGATCTTCTCGTTCTACAGATGATTTGCTAACAGTAATAACCGATAGGTTTTACCGTGCATTAGATAGAGGTGGAGAGGTTAAGGCTATCGCACTTGACATTTCTAAAGCTTTTGATAAAGTTTGGCATGCTGGTCTTCTCCATAAGCTTTCTTCTTATGGTGTATCTGGTAACATCTTTAAGATTATTGAATCCTTCCTTTCCAATCGTAGTATAAAAGTTGTCCTCGATGGACAACACTCTTCTTCATATCCTGTAACTTCAGGGGTTCCTCAAGGTTCAATCCTTGGCCCTATACTCTTTTTAATTTACATTAACGATCTCTCAGATATTCTCACATCTAAGGTGGCATTATTCGCTGACGACACTACCATTTACTCTTGTCATGATAAGAAGCCTACACTCTCTGATTGCCTGGAGGGGGTATCTGAGCTTGAAAAGGATCTCACTTCTGCTACAGCTTGGGGCTCACAGTGGCTGGTGAACTTTAATTCAGATAAAACTCAATTTTATTCGGCCAATCGTTATCGTAATAATTTAGATCTTCCTATATTTATGAATGGTAATGTACTAGATGAGTCATCTACCATTCATCTTCTAGGATTAACTCTTACTTCTGATCTTTCTTTTAAACCGTATATCAAATCCATTGCAAAATTAGCATCTGCTAAGGTTGCATCTCTTTATCGAGCTCGACACTTTCTTACTCCAGATTCTATTCTCTATCTCTATAAATCTCAAATCCGTCCCTGTATGGAATACTGTTGCCACATCTGGGGCGGATCTTCTAATGATGCCCTTTCTCTTTTAGACAAGGTGCAAAAACGCATTGTAAACATAGTTGGACCTGCTCTGGCAGCCAATCTCCAACCTTTGTCACATCGTCGTGATGTTGCTTCTCTTTCTCTTTTCTACAAATACTATAATGGGCACTGCTCTAAAGAGCTAGCGTCCCTTGTGCCATCTACTAAAATTCTTTCTCGTGTTACTCGCCATTCAATTAAGTATCATCTTTTTTCTGTGACTGTTCCTAAGTGCTTCAAAAACTTATATTCTTCTAGTTTTTTTCCTCGAACATCAGTTCTTTGGAATTCGCTTCCTTCATCTTGCTTCCCTGATTCATATAATTTGCAATCATTTAAGTCATCAGTCAATCGTTATCTTGCTCTACAGATTTAGTCTTTTCTCTTCCAGTAACTTCCAACTCTTATAGTGGTTGCTTGCAGCCTTGTTGGAAGTAAAGATGTTAAAAAAAAATAAAAATAAAAATAAAAAAATTTTAACTTTTTAAAAGTTTCATAGAATAAGTTCATCAATGCACACATAAATTGACTGATATAAATGTAGTTGCAGAGAGTACATACAAAACTGAGGGTTTAGGTTTTGCCATGTATTCTTTGAATAAAAAGAAAAGTATTTTAACATTTATTTATAAAGTTTACGCTAGATTTTTAGGTGAAACAGTCAAAAAAAATAATAACTTATGTTTAAATAGGTGCATAAAAATAATACAAAATTAATTACACAGGCATACAAATTAGTTTACAAATAATTATAATTAAATTAAATAATCACAAATAATGTCTTCATAACTAAACATAGAATTATATAATTTATTCCTTCTTAAACTAAACCAAGACATAAATGTTTTCTTAAACTAAACTAAACAATTCTTTGCAAGAAAACAACTAGAATGATAGATGAACATTTTAAACAACAGAAGCTGTTGTTTAAAATTGTGCATTAATAGAAGAATATTCTAAACCCGCCAGTTTATTAGAACAATAATATTTAAGCTGATAGATTTAATTGTTTTGTTTAACGATAATTTAAAAGTTCCTTCTCATGTATGTTATCTTATTTAACAAAGCAAAGCAAAAGCAAAAAAGAATACTCTTTATTTCGCTTAATCAGCGTATTTTTTGAACCAATAGAATTAGTTTGTTTGTTAATTTGGCGGGTTTTTAGTGTTCGTGAATATTCTTATTATTATTTTGCACAAAGATGTTTTGAGAACATTCAAGTTTTTTATGTTTCCATGTATGTCCGCAATACAAAAATATTTTGTTTCGTACGTTAACTTAAATGTTCTCAAAACAACTAAACTACCTGGCCAGTTTTTTGCAACTAAATATAATTACTGTGGTCAGTATTCGAGAGCAATCGCTCCCGCTTCCCGACCAAGCCTGTTTAGTGTGTCTAAAAAGAACTTTCAATATACTGCACTTTTTTACTTTTACTTAAGTAATTTTGGTCTAACAGTACTTTTTCCATTGCAAAGATATTATATATTTAAGCTACTTTTCAACTGCATGAAAATTTCAATACAATAATAAACTCTCACTATTAATAATAATCTAACAATATTAATAATAATCTCACTATTAATAATAATCTCACAATAATAAATGCTCACTATTAAAATAAAATAATAATCTATTTCGATAATAATACAAGTAGTCTAAAGTAGTTTAAACACAAACTAGACATTATGTAAAAGAAGTTTGTAAAAGTAAAAAATAATTATTTAATAAATCATTTAATATAAGGTTTACAAATTGGATTTGTGTAGGGATGAATGCATGCCAACCTGTCATACAAATATATTGTATGTACACAAATATATTATGTATGTATGCACACTATAGACCATGAAATTCTTCTCTTAAAGCTTAACTATTATGGCATACGTGGCATACCCTTGCAGTGGTTTAGATCATACCTTTCTGATTGTCTACAATTTGTAACTATAAATGGAACCAGCTCAGATATTAATGTTTCAATTGGTATACCTCAGGGATCCATATTAGGTCCTCTTCTCTTTATTATCTATAATAATGATCTCAATCTTTCTATCAAACATTCAAAAACGTATCATTTTGCTGATGATACTAATCTTCAATTAATAACAAACTCTCTCAAAAAACTTAATAAATATATTAATCAGGATATGGCCAGTCTTGTTCAATGGCTTAGAGCAAATAAAATCTCATTGAATACTAAAAAAATCAGAAATAATTATATTTAGGACTCGAAATACTAACTTTTCTAAAAAAAGCACCCTAAAATCAGGTCTCATCCTTAGGTTCAAGAATCTGTTCTTAAAATCACTCCATCATTTCTACCTAGAAGGTTACGCTTAACTTTACTTTTGAATTTTTTACTTTCTATCTTTTGACTTATTTTTATTATATATTTTAATTTTATTTTTAATATTTTATTTTTAATAATTATTTTTATTATAACTTACTTATTTTATTATAATTCTTGTTTAGGTATATGTGCATATATAAATGTACATCATATTAATTGTTATATATATATTAAAAAAACTGATTTTTTTGGTATAATTTAATAAACTTTTATGCAATTTTACTTTTATTAGTTATTATTATGTTTATACTTATTTAACTTAACTTCCTTTTATAAACTACTTTTTTATGTGGTTTTACTTATTACATATTATTATTATTATTATTTTTTATTTTATTTAGGTCTTTGCGCTTTAATAGTGAATCACTGTTTGCAATGACCTGTGTTTTTGTAACATCTGTAAAACGAAATATATTGTTATTGTTGTTTGTTTGTATGTGATATATTTTCTAATCTTTAATCATAAATCATTTATGATTAAAGATTAGAAAATATAGCACATATACATTCACATATGCATTCATGCCTACACAAATCCAGTTTGTAAAACTTATAAAATAATAACAAATATATAAAAAAAATATTGTGTTAAAAAATATAAAAAAAATATTGCGTTATATTTGAACTAACTATGAAACAAAGTCATCTCGTGTTTTTCTCATTTCTCAAATATAAAATGCACAACAATTTCATATATTATTAAATTTGAAACTAAAGACTACTTTAAATATAAAAGTTATGTGTAAAACAATAATATTAAATATGCTAATATAATTTTATATAAAGTACAAGAAACTTTAATTATGTAAATAATGAAAATTCTAGTGTTTGATCAGCAGTAATATTAAAGATGCTAATATAACTCTCAAAACTTACCATCGTAATCTTTTTATAATATAATTTTTACCTTTAGCAACGATTCTGTGAAAAATCAATATAAAAAAGCAGCGTGGTCTGCTGGTAAATATTTGCGTAAATAGAACATATATAAAAGGCATATATGTTTTATACACTGATCTCAAAATATAACTATACACTGATCATAAAATATATGATCTCAAAATATGTTATATTTTGAGATCAGTGGTTTTATATTATGCAAGTTAAAATATAAATATACACTGATCATAAAATATATGATCTCAAAATATGTTATATTTTGAGATCAGTGGTTTTATATTATGCAAGTTAAAATATATCCGGCTAACGAAAAACAATTTTTCGGACCTAGCGCTAGTCAAATTTTTCGTCCAATCAAAATAGGGATTTGATCTCAGGAAATAGCCGCTTTTAATTTTTTGTACGGCCGCCATATTGGAAAGCCCCAGAATACCGAAAATACAGTGATTGCGCTTGAAGATGTACCTTTTTACTTCGTTTATATCTACTCGACCAAGTCACATATTTCAATGATATTATTATATTTAAAATGTTTGAAGGTGTAAAAATTGTAAAAGGGAATCAAAAACACGCAAAACATTAACGACGAAGAGAAATATCGCTATAAAGAAATAATAAAATTTGTATTGCTTTCTATTAACTTGTTAAATTTATTGAATTCATGATATTCTAAATAAAACTTTTCTGAAAGACAAATTGATATTTGATCTGGTTACTTTTGGGAGTTTATTTTAACTTAATGCGACCTTACTTAGCAGTAGCAGCTGGAAAGTAACTTTACAAGTATAAAACATGATAAAAACATTGTATCAAACATTTTTGTAAGTGGTTTTCTAACTTTTGAAACTCTGAGGGCATGTTTATATTGTTCCACAACTAAAATATCATCAACTATGCAATACTTTATTAAAATTGATATCACTTAATAACAATGTTTTGTTCTGTTGCTTTGCTAACTTTAATTACACTTTGTGAAGGTTTGAAAAAAACCATCTCTAACTTTAAAAAACACTAGATATTTGGTGATAACTAGTTATTTGCAGTTTTACGTTAAAGTATTTAGTGTTTTAGACTAAATAACAGCATCACATACATGTTGATTGTTTATCCTTGCGGCGAACGTGACGTCACTTTAACTAACTAAACGGCTACCATTATGGTATGGGGGCAAACAACGCGCTTGAAAATAGAGAAATGTGTTTTTGATTGTTCAATTAATGTTAATAGTCATCCGAACTTGATTTTTTATATTTTGCTTCCTGATCCAAAGAGAAGAAAATCGTGGTTTTATGCTTTATATAGAATTGATTCATCTTGCAAACAAACTTTGGTCGCAAAACATGTCTAAGTATGCTCAAAACATTTTGTATTTGGTAAGTTTTGTATTTAAATCGTCAAAATATTTGAGCACAAATTTTTCTTGAACTTATTAAGTTTTTTTCGTCTATATATTTTTATTCATTGTAAGTATGTTTCTCTTTTAGGAAAAAAAAGAACATAGTCTAGATGCTTTACAAAATTTTGAAAAGCATGTTGACTATATTCCATCAGTAAATATGTTAGGTGCTAAAAAAATATATATAGTGAAATCATCCCTTCAACATAACCAATTGTTATGTGAAATGAAAGGAGAATAAATAGATTAAACAATTCACTTAGTATATACTATATAATATTGGTATGTACTGTATAAACAACACGATAAACTATATAATATAGTTTATCTTGTTGTTTAAAATGTTTTTGTAAAAACTGTTTATATAATAGTTACAATTTATTTTTGTTATACATTGATGCATAACAAAAATAAATTGTATATATAAATATTAATCCATTAAAACTAAGCATTTATAAATCATGTATTATTGTTTTTATTTTTAAATAAATTCAATGTTCAATAGCTTGTTGAGCACAATTTTGCAATGTTCAATAGCTTGTTGAGCACAAATTAAATGTTCAATAGCTTGTTGAGCACAAATTTTGTATTTACTATATACCTCAAACATGTTAATATTTTTTTAGAATATTATGTACAAAAAAGTCATTGCAATAAATCTCAAGTTATTAAAGTCAGTGAACAAATAAGTACTGACAATTCGTTGACTGGAGTGGAAGATGTTAGTGTCTTGAACCAACATGAAACAACAAGTGAACTTAGCTGAGAATGATGGTAGTTTAAAAATAATGCAGCATTAGCTAGGTAAGTGATTATGTGTATGTTGGCTCACTCATAAGTCAATATATATGTGTTTATGTTCTGTGTCGATCTCTGGTGTCATGTTGGCTCACCCTTTAGACATTATGTGTGTTTGTGTTCTGTTTCAACCTCTAGTGCGGTGTTGATTCACTTGTAAGTCATGTGTATAATTTTATTTTGTTTTATTGTGTTATTATTGTGATGTTATTGTTGCTATGTTTTGTGTTGATAGACAAGTTTGCTTACCTTCTCCTTGGTGTCTCTTGCTACAAATGATTATTAGATTTAAAAATGACAACATTAAAAGTATGTTTTACTTTAAAACATGTTTCTTGCCTATTAGTAAATGATTTTTTACTTAAACTCGTCACTTCTAATCATTTACTAATAGGCAAGAAACATGTTTTAAAGTAAAACATACTTTTAATGTTGTCATTTTTAATCTTTAGGGTTGTTCTTAGGTCACAAAAACAATCTTACAAAGTAAGTTTCTTCTTTATTATTTATTTAGTTATATTTTTAAAAAATTTTATTTAATTAATGTCTTATGTATCATGTTAACATGAAAAATAAAAATTTTTAAATTTTTATTTTTCATGTTAACATGATAAAAAAGACATTAATTTGTAAATGCTTTCAGCATAAATTGGTTCCACTTTCTTTAGTAGAGTTTCTGCTGTTGTCACTGGTTTTAGAGAGTACCTTCGTGAATGAAGATAAAAAGTCATTTATGTTATTTTTTAAAAGCCAAGACATAATATTGTTAATCCTCATACCATTTACTAAAAAACTTTATAAATATTGTTACGATGTTATAATTCAAATTGTTGTAATTAGTAATTTTGATCATTTCATTATTATACTGTAAAAAATATTTTTTATTTATAACATTTATTTCACATATATTAAAAACATGAGGAATAAATATTACACTGAGGAAAATTTTAAGCAAAATATAGAATTTTTAAATGTTATTAGAATATCAATATGTAATATTTTTGTTTTATTTATTGACTACATCTGTAAACTGGCAATAATTTCAAAATGATGAATTAATTGAATTCCATGATTCCTTAAAGCATTTGCACAGATTTATTTCAATATAACGCTAAATTTTGTTCTGGTAACGTTCAGCAGCTTATTTAGATAACTTTTCTTGATAATCATAAGACATTTTCAAGGCGTTAAGTAATGTTGCACTGAAATCAGCGCGTTTGTTTGCCCCCATATCATAATGGCAGATATTTTTGTTTTTCATTACGCAGTTCAAGTTTTTTTAAAACTATCCCCATCAATCAATCAATCAATCAATTATATATTCTGGAAAAAAGATCTAATTTCCACGGTCGTTTACAAATAGTTATAAGAACTAATATAAAGTAAAAACCTCTTTGATTATATAAAAACATATTATAGACACATATAGTTATAATAATAATAAAAAAAGCAATAAATTAACAATAACACAACAATAAAAATAATTAATTGCGTAATAGCAATAATAACAGCAATAATAATTTAAATAAATCGGTATTACTTTCCATACAGCAATCATTTTTAAATACAAAGTTACAGTTAATAAACTGACAAAACAACAAACGATGACGTAAAAACGACTGCTAAAAAAATTATCAAGATTTAGTATAATCATAGTTGATAAAATATAATAATCAAAATACATTGCAAATATTATGACCAAATAAATAAATAAAATATAAAAGAAAAACACTGAGAAAACCAAAACAAAACAAGGTACAACAAACATTACGAACAAAACAAAAAATTATGCAAAAAAACACCAAAATAAACAACAACAAAAAAAAACTAAAGATTTAAAAAAATAATACACAGTTGAATAAAACATATATAATAAATGGCTAAAATGAAAATAAAAACAAATAATATATACTGTATAAAAAAATTATATACCACTAAAAATAAATAATAACTAAAAAACAAACAAATGACTAACAAAAAATAATAAGTAAAACTATATACGTTAAAAAATTGAAGAAAAATAAATAAATTATAAAATAGATAATCCTAAGAAATATATGAAAGAAAACTAAAGAAATATATGAAAAAATAAATCTTGATTTCCCGATAATTAAATAGTTTTTTTGATTCTTTGCCATTCTTTTTATATATTTCATTCATTAAAGTTTTTTTTTTAATTTCTATTTTCATTACTTTTTTATTCTTTTTTTTTCCAGATATTTCTTTTTCTTTTCTTCTTTTAAAAGATTTATTTATTCTTCTTTTTGATTATTTCATTTTTGATTATTTCATTTTTCATTTTTTTCATCCAGTCAGAATCACGTGACTATATCGCGAAATCAAAAGTAACCATCTTGAATTGGGGGAAAACAAACTATACTTTCTTATACGAAAAGTCAAGAAAACATTATTAACAATAAATTTATATTCAACAATTATTTCAAAAGTTAATTAAAAGCAAAAGCGAATAGTCTGCAAAATATAAGTCTTTTAGGTGATTTTACTTTATTTTTACAAACTTTTAGATCTATGATGACTTACTTTGCTGTCTACATTTTATTTTGGTTATTTTAGGTTACAAAAAGTACTGATATTTTAATATTTATTTACCAATACTAAATTAAGATCCAAATTAAAAGTAACCCTCCAGTCATAAAGAGTGCCGAACAAACATATACATTACAAGGTTTTACTTGCTACATGCAATACTATCTACAGCACGATTTATCGTATTCAACCACTTTCTTTTAAGTAATTCATCTTTTGGAAGACTTAAGTTTTTATATATTTTTTAATTTGTTAGTGCAACCTACTGCGCAACAACTTTTAAGGATTTTTTTTAAAAAATAACTCAACAAACCGCTACTGATTTTTTAGTTTGTTTTCCCCCAATTCAAGATGGATAATTTTAAAACAATGCTTTTTAATACGATGTGACGTCACGCCGACTGGTTGGAATCCAACCAGTCGACTCTAAAGTAAAATAATAATGTTTTATACTGATAAATATTATTTGTATAATTAATAAATATTAAAAATATTTCTTGTGAAAACAAATAAGCAACATAAAAGACCAAAATGAAAGGTGAACAATTTTTTTTTAAGTGTACATACTTTTTTACTTTTCCCTACCACATAATACCTTTTTATTCAATGTTTATTTTGTTATTCAATGCTTATACAAGTTATTCAATGATTATTTTGTTCAAGATGATAAAGCTAAGTATTATTTTATTTATATTTTTTTACTTTAACATATTCTTTTGTAATTGCAATATCTATACAAATGTTCTGGTGTTGTGAAAATGTCTAATGGCATTTACAAAAATGTCTTGAAAGTATCTTTCTATAATTAAGCGTTAAGTTAATATATATATATATATATATACACACACACACACACAAGAAAAAAATTATTAAAAGTAAATATAAAGATTTGCTATATGTTACCTAAGAAACCTTTAGGTTGTGTTACAATCACATTGCCTAACTAATGATTTATACATCAAACTTGTAAGCTGTTTACCTTGCAAATATGTTACAAGCCTCGGGCATTTTGCAGAGGGCAATTAAGAATCAAAAGGTGCGTCTTTTGGCTTCAAAAATTTCAAAATTTTATTAGGAGATGCGCTATCCAGTTATTATAGAGATCAGTGGTATAAACTATATATAAATAAGTAGCCTTGTTTACGCTAGATATAAACAAAAATGATAAAAGTTTTAAATTTTTTTAAACTATATAATTAAATTGCCAGTCTATAATTACTCAGTTGAAGATGTTTAGCAGGATGTCGCTGGTGGAATAATAAATTATTATAATAAAAAATGTCAACTTTGTGGTAAGTGTATATAAAAGTTTAACTTTTATATAATTTGTGTTTAAGAGTTTATTATTATTGTGTATATACACAATAAAAATCCCAAAACAACTGTAGGTTTTGAGATGCTGAGACATAGTACAAAATTAACTTCAGAAACATACAATATTATAAAATACGTATTTTATATTATTGTATGTTTCTGAAGTTAATTTTGTACTATGTCTCAGCATCTCAAAACCTACAGTTGTTTTGGGACTTCCATTTTATGCATTGACTTATTTGTCAATTTTGAAAACTATTAGTTAATTTTGTTGTATATTTAAGTGTTGCAATTAAGTATTACTAAAAATATTTATTAAAAACAGTCTAAGATTAAATTAACTTTAAATTTATTATGGATTTGAACCTAATTTTCATAAAATGACCCTTGGTACAGTCCAAAAAAAGCTTATTGTTCTAGGGCCACTACTTTTTAAACCCTTCTACTTGATAGAATTTTATTAGTATAAGTCCATATACTTATACAAAGTAATTAGTATAGAGATATGTTGTATTGTATAGAGATATGTGTATATTTTATAGAAAATTGAGTAGGGCAAAATTGAAATGTTTAAAATTTTGCTCCAAAACAAAGCGTAAAAGTTAAGTGTTTATATCAATGATAAGAGGGAAAATTAGTTGTTTTCGCATAAAAAATTTAGTTAGAAGTGGTTTTCTTTTATGTGCCAGCATATCGACCAGTTATATTTACTGTTTAATTATCTGCAAGGCAAAGTGAGTATTTTAATATTTGTGTTTAAAAAAATGTTAATAATTGTTATCAGACATTCACTTTAGAAATATGAATTGTAGCTTAAAGCCTGTGTCAAAAATGACTTTTATATGTTGTATTTAAATATGACTTAATGACATTATTTATATGACAAAAATGGCTTTTATATGGTGCATTTGCCTGAAATTTGACTTATAGTCTATTAGTCAAAAATCACAATATAAGTCTCTATAATCAAGATACTTATATTGTGACCATTATGTACGACATTATCTTGATCGATGTTGTTACACTTGGAATATGTTGTTTCAACTTTTAGGTATTTTATTTTGCTACAATTTTTTTATAATGTTGTTTTGATTTGATTTGTTCTGTAAACAGAAAGCTGTACAGTGCCCTTTTTTTCCCCATGTGTTGAATTTCAGCAACATTTTTGTCAAAATTATTTATAGTTCATTTTACAAGAGGTAGTAGAAGATTATTTTATTTTTAACTACTTTCTTATTTTGTAACATGGTTTTTTTTTTTTTAGAACAATTTAAGAGTATGATTTAATTAATAACTGTGTGAATCTTCTTGGTTGATGCCTAAAAGATTTTTTGAAGGCAGTTCTACATTTTATTGCAATATAAAAACATGCCAATATCCTAAAAATTATTCTGCGTAATGTTTTTTGGATTGTTTGCATGTAAAATTAAAAATTCAGTCATTGATTGTGAAAAAGACTAATTGGCTAATTAGTTTAAAAAGTTTCAATGGTGATGATTGATTGGTGAGAAACTTATTTACTTTTTATATTTTAATTACATGATTTGTTAATATTTATGATATGAATTGTTTGTGAGCTCAGTATAGTAAAGTTTTTTATTTCTACATTTGTATTACTTAGCACAAATATTTTATAATTTTGTCTACAGATTGGTTTGTAATAGCCGTAATTATCTTATTTACTTAATGTTCAGTATATTGTTATGTTGTTTTTAAACTAGATAAAATAGTTTTTAAAATGAAAATTACTTCTGGCTTTATATGAATCTAATTTTAGTTTACTTCTTTGGGAATTTTATATCATTTACTAAGTTTATTGTATTGGTAACTTTTTTATTACTAAAAAAAGAATTTTGTTACAAAAAAATAGTGTAAAATGCATAACATCCCAGCTATTACAATACATTGGAGGGCTTTCATTGGAAATGTTTTTTTTTTTTACATTTTCATTTCCAACAAGACTGCAAGCACCTACTAATAGAGAAAAGATGAAATTTATAGAGCAAAATAACAACTAACAGAAAAAATTAATAGATTGGGAATTATATGAAAAAAAAAAACAAGTTGAAGCAAGTGAAAAAAAAGTTTCACGAAAAAACAGATAAGAACTTTTTGGGCACTTAAGAACAGTCATATT